TTTTAAGTGAACTATGCTTAATTCTTTATTCTAGACCTCAACATCCCTTTCTTCAGAGGAAAAGGGTAAAAAGGCCAAGAAGAAAACCAGAAGGCGCAGAGCCAAGGGAGAAGGGAAGCGGCAGTCAGAGGATGAGTGCTTCCGCTGTGGTGATGGTGGACAGCTGGTGTTATGCGACCGAAAGTTCTGCACCAAGGCCTACCACCTCTCCTGCTTGGGCTTGGGCAAGCGGCCCTTTGGTAGGTGCCCAGCACCCATGCAGCTTCTGACAACTTGCAGTGCACTTCCTTATTCTTATTCAGCCTCTCTTAATCCATTGGGTCTTACCTAGTTGCATATTCATTGGAAGGTCAGGTGGTAAATGTTCCCACTTCAGGGAACCAGCTAGAGCACAGGGTGGGAGCAGGCAGTAGCTTCCAAAGCCCAGTGTTGAGTGGTCATCTCATTAGTGCCAAGATCTAAAGTGACATACATCAGGGCTCTACTGGAGAAGATAAGTTCTACTACAGCAGCCTTAGCAGGACTGGTTTTGTCACTAGGAGGCCTGGTTGTAGGACATGTGACCTAACTTCCCAGGATTTGTAGGCTCTGTCCTAGAGATGACACAGAACTGGAAGACAATAGGCTTTTCCTCTTACATACTCAAGAGTGGTCACAGCATCAGAACGAAAAGTTAGAATTTCAAAAGAAAAATTATAAACACTTGACTCAGAGACAAGAAACCTAATAATGGTTTTACATATATATTTAGATTTGACAGTTATCCCTAACCCTAATCTTCAGAGGTTCATATCTAAGCATAAAACTATTTCCTTATAAATAGGCAAGTCCCAAGCTGGGTGTGATGATGCACACCTTTAATCCCAGCACTCAGGCATTGGCAGGTGGACTTCTTGAGTTTGAGGCCAGCCTGCTGTACGGAATAAGTTCCAGGACAGCTAGGGCTACACAGAAAAACCCTGTCTCAAAAAACAAAACAATAACACAAAAGGGCAAGTTAGAAGGCAGCTGTTGGTATCAGTAGACTCTGCTAGGGACCAACAGCAGTGAGCTGCCCTTGGTGTCTTGTGTAATGCTCCAGCTGGCCTGTATGTATACTGTAGTCTGCAACACTTGGTACCTACCTGGCCTTTGAGCACCAACTACTAGCTTCTCTCTGGCAACTGAAATGCAGTCTCTTGTGTTAATTTGCATTTATTTGACTAGCCAGTCTTATTTATTTATTTTCAAGGCAGGGTTTCCATGTACTTTTGGACCCTATCCTGGAACTAGTTCTTGTAGACCAGGCTGGCCTTGAACTCAGAGATCTGCCTGCTTCTGCTTCCCGAGTGCTGGGATTAAAGGCATGCACCACCACCGCCTGGCTGAGTAGCCAGTTTTAAAAGTAATTTCTAGTTAGGTATGTTGGTACAAGCAACTCAAGCGGAAGATGACTAGTTCAAGGGAAACATACTTTGTGGATATTAACTCAGAACGAGATCACATGCTTGAGTCCCTTCTGGGCTCAACCTCAATCTTTCAAGAAAATTACTCTCAGCCCTGAAAACATTAAAGCTTGTTTGCTGATGGTGTATTTTGTTTTGCAGGGAAGTGGGAATGTCCTTGGCATCACTGTGATGTATGTGGCAAACCTTCTACCTCATTTTGCCACCTGTGCCCCAACTCATTCTGTAAGGAACACCAAGATGGGACTGCCTTCCGTTCCACCCAGGATGGGCAGTCCTACTGCTCTGAGCATGACTTGAGGGCAGAATCTGCAAGAAGTACCAAGACTGAGAAATCGTTTCCAGAATCACTGAAGTCAAAGGGGAAGAGGAAGAGAAGACGGTGTTGGCGAAGAGTCACAGAAGGCAAATAGCGCTTAGTCAGATCCAGGGGTGGCATGGGATAGCCAACCCTGCCTGTAATGAGAAGGCAAGCATGGCACTTGCCCCAAGGACCCAGCTCATAATGCTATGACATGTATAGGCCTCCTTGGGTGGGAAGGAGCACCTTCTACCACTGAGCCATCCTCAGCAGCTGTGCTGCGTCTGCACTGATGCTTGTCAGCTGCACACTCAGCGGTCCAGGACAAACAAGCCTTACTACGCAGCATCACCGCTACACTTGAATCCGAGACCCAACGTCAAGGTGCCCTCCCATTTTTATTTTAGATTAAAGTTATGATTGAAGATTAACTGGCATGTGAAATGCTTTTATCTTACCCAAAACGTATAGAATAGAATTTTCTAAAGGTCACTATTAGCTCTATCCTGGTGGTTCAGGCTTCTACTCACATACTGCCCCCACTCAGGACAGACTGGGACTCAGGCCCTGGGCTACTCCTAATCAGGATTGATCATTATTTTGCTCTTTTGAAACAGCCTATGTTCTTCATACTAATGTGAATTTTTCCCTCAGTGCTGTTTGCACTTTGAGTGGTTGTGGTGTTGCAAGATTCCTCTCATGACTTTCCTTTGTGTGGACTCGACAACCAGTGATGGCAGCGTGTCCTGTGGAGCAGTGCAGCTGCCTTCGTTGTTTTCTCTGATGTCTTCTAAACCCACATTCTTGGACCAATATTTGGGGGAAACCCTTGTATATTTTCTTCAATTGGTTTTTCTGTTTCTGGCATTTATTCCCAATATACTTTTGCTAAAACTGTTTCACAAATTATTACCAGCTAAAATGTATTTGAGTTGTCATGCAGATGTGAAGTATTGAGCAAGCACGGAGGACACAAGGCACACAGCCTGGGCTAATGTGCTCTCTCCTCTTTGCATCTGAAGCTGAGCCCAAGCTTCGTTGCTCTCTTTCCACCAGAGCACCACCTGGTCTCATGGTAGACAGGTCTGATGGTACCTATTTCCCTAATGAAATTTAAATTTCTCTAAAAGCCCAGCTCTTCCTTCTGCCTTCTCAGGAGTATATCTTGGCCCTGGAGAGCTTGGACACTAAGAAAGGAGATCTCATGCATTCCATTGGGGGGGGGGGTGTAAGCAATGCAGCAGAAATTGGTTTTAGAAAAGCCACAAAGCAAAAAAGCTTAAACTCTATCCATTAAGTCCCTAGCAGGGTTTGCTACTGATGTCCTGCTGCCCTCCAGCCTTGGAGAACTGCAATCACCATTTAGAACAGGATTGACCATTCTTAGTAGTCTGGGTTGTGTGTCAGCCATGACACTTGCAAGCCAAGCATGTCATGACCACCCCTTTGACCCTTCTCTAGTAGTAGTCCCCCAAAAGTTAAAGCAGCTTTGCAGGCAGCCTATGGCTTGGCTTCCATAGGCACAAGCCTAGTAACTTCTGGAGACATCTGTTTGAGCAGATGAGACAAGGAGCATTTTTCAGTTTAGAACTCAACCTGGTTCAGACTGTCCTCTAAAAATATTAGATTGGCTCATAAATTTGTCACCTGTGCCCTAAGTTTAGAAGGCTGGTGTGGTGATAGGCCAGACAGCCTCTTTACATGCACATAGCTCCTAGGCCCCAGGGGCCCCCTGCTTCTGCGAAAGAGCATCAGAATTGGTTTTGCAGCACATTGTGAGGGATCAGATTAACTTTCTTTTTTAATGTTAAATACATCTTGGGAATTTTGGTTCCAAATTACTATTTATGATCTTTCTGAAGGAAATATTGTGAACTTTTTAGACAACTTATCTTCCCAAATAGTATTAATGAGTAAATAACACTAACTCTGAAAACCAACCGAAGACCAGTATACAAATCTGAGTAAAGTAACCCCCTGGGGTGATGGCCTTTCCCACAGAAGGACCAGCCACAGGGCCAGCTGTGACTCGGGATGTGCCAGGTGCTCTGATGAGCCTGAAAGATGTGTGTGACTTTCTGAGCATCAGCTCCAGTTGTTGTTTTCTTTAATGTGAAACAAACCAAATGAAACCTGCCCAGATTCCATGTTCCTCAGGCACCTTCAGTATCCAAAAACCAGCTAGCTGTTCCCTAACCAGTACACACCTATGTGTGTGCCTCTGCAGGGTAGCAGGCAGCCCAAGGGACACAGTCAGTGTCCACGCCAGCATTGGTCTAAGAAAATGTGGAACTATAGCATTTAAACCTAGGCACCTGTAAGGCAGTGCATCTCAGAGTAACAAGGATTCCGGTGCTAGTTCCTGAGGAATTTCCTGGTACTAGCACCTAGGACTCCTGGATCCCAGGCAGGCACACTCAGGTTGGCATTTCTGATGACTTCCAAGTGATACCTGTAACACGATGTGTGAAGGGCCCATCTTCCAGAGCTACCTTATTTTCAAGAATTAAAGATAAAAATGTTTTGATTAAAGTTAATGCAAACAACTGTCAGTTGCCAAATCTCTTCGTCTACAAAGGAGTGTAGCTGATGACTGTTAGTCAGTAGAATAAACGCTGTGTCCATATGTATCATGGTGTCCCCGTATCCTGTTGAGATGTGAAATGACCTATCAGAAATTAAATTTAAGTTTAAATGTGCCTATTGGTGTCTAAACTTCATACAATATAAAGTCAGGTTCCTTTTAGGAATGCTGGGTACTGTCACCAGGTCTGATAGTGAAGGCTTAAAAACTTGAAGTTTGGGAGGGAGGGGGGAAGTAATATTGAAATATAGAGAAGAATTACCAGTTGGGGGAAAAATAGCATTTAAAATGAAAAGTTGTGTTTGGAAAACTGTATTGAGTATTTTTTTATTAAAAAACTTTAAAGGTCTTTTTCTCACACTTCTTTTATATGGGACTGTGTTTGACTCCTCCAGCTTCCTGGGTGCTATGAATTCAAGGCGGTAGGCTTAGGCCCATTTCCCAGTGCTGTGGCCTTGACTTTCCTGTTGCTGCCTTTGACTGTGGCCTCACTCTACCCCCAAGGCTGCCTTGCCCATTACCTACCTGATTTTGTTTTGTTTTGTTTCTCCAGATAGTCTTGTTATCTCCCAGCCCTGTTTCTTCTCCCCTGGGATTCTGACAGCTGTAAAGGAAGGGGTTTAGTCCCAGAGCAGGGAGTCAAGCTAGCTTGAAACATAGCTCTGTGGGCTTTCTTTAGAAAAACTAAACTTTAATACACATAACATTTTACAATGAAAATAGGTACCCAGAGACAGGTTTGAAATGTTTACAACTATACAAAATACATATACAAATCCCTGGCAGGCAGTGGCATCGAGGCTAGTTATAGCCCCCCTCACACCCTAGCCTGCCGGGTGTCACCTTTGGTCCCCTCAGCCTTGTGAGGGAAGGCATGCACAAGCAGAGGAAGTCCTCTCAGCCAGTGCAGTTTTTTAAAGAAAAAAATAAAAAAAGGTAAAAGTCTAGCAGGCACTAAAATGAAGTTGTAACTTTTTTGGTTTAGCATTTAAAGTGTAATATTGAATCCAAAAAAAAAAAAGTATCTTAATCACACAAAAAACTAACCCGTTATAATTTAAAAAAAAAAAAAAAAAAGCCTAAACTTCCCAGAGAAATGACCTAAAACTTAAAACAGCCCGGGGCCCAGTAGACTGTGGATGGCAGGTATTGGGTGGAACACATCCTTCGGTATCTGCTCAGGTCACTTAGCATAGCCAGCAAAACTTGTCTTCTGGCTTGATGCAGATCAGCAGCAGAGATGGCACTTAGGACACATTGGTCATGGGCTTGTACTTCTTGAAGCGTGTCCACTGGCCTGTGGCGTAGTTCATCTCGAACACTGTGTCCACTAGCATGGTGGTACTGCCCTGGCCGTCTGCCTTGGGCAGATCCTCTGTGTGCTCGCTGAGCTTGATCTGGATCACATCACCCTGCTCCGGGCATGGGTTCTCTGTAAGGAGCAGGGGCTGCTGAACTGGTGCCTGGGGCCAAGGAACCCATCTCCCACCCCATGGGGGTACCTCCCCAGGCTAGTAACACAGACACACCTCGAGAGCCAGCCATGAAGCCCAGGATGAGGGCCTTCTCTGGCCGAGTGACCTTGTTTGCTGTCTTGAACATCTCCTGCGCAGCAAACATCTGTTCTCTCTGTAAAGAGAGGATGTGGGTATGGGGGCTGCTGGGCCCACCCATTGGCCCTGCCAGGCTCATCCCATAACAACAGCTCCCACCCCCTGCTGCAAACAGGCAGAGATATGCCATCCACCTAATGGCTATGAAACCTGACAGGGTACCTACCGTGAGAGACAGGTTCTTCTTAGGTTGCTGCTGAACAGGGGCAGGTGCCTGGGTCTGTGGGGCCACCATGGCCACTGGGGGTGTCTGAGCAGTGGGGGTGGCAGTTGGGGGAGTAGTAGGTGTGAGAGGCGAGGTAGGTGCTGCAGGTGTTGGCGTAGCTGGGCTCAGGCCACTGTTATACATAGGTGCTCTTTGTTTAAATTGAGCTGGCAGTGTAGGACTTGGAGCATTGGGCTCCTCAGGGGGTCGGCTGGCCTCCCGGGATGGAGGGGCTGCAGGCAGAGCAGGTTTACTAAGGAGAGTTATTCAGGAAAAGGAGTATACCCCAATTCTAGTCATCCCAGTCTTCAGGCGGCCTGCTCCAGACATCAGATTCTGGAGAGACAATAGGCTCAACTCAAATCTTCTAGGTTCTGACAGCAACTGTGTCCAATACCGGCCTGCTCTGTCTTGCTCCAATCACTGCTGACCAGAAACCCTTGCTGGCCTTCGCAGCTAGGGACACGTGCGTGCCTTGTGCACTACTATCCAGCAGGGCAGAACCTATGTCCTCAGGCATTTCTAGATCCAGAGATTAAGTTATCCAAGACTCTGGTTAGCCACTGACCTATGACGAGTTCCCCATAAACAAGGCACTGGAAAGCAATTCTCCCAGGCCTAGCACCCTTTTTGCTCAGCAGGGCTTCTTACATGACCCTCAACCCACTAACGAATAGACAAAGCTGAGCCCAATGGAACCAGCCTCCCTCTCCTGCGAACAGCTGACAAACCCAAACTTATGTCTGACCCTGAAGGAATTATCCCCTCTACAGTGTCCATCAGGGAAGAAACAATCCTCATGACCCCAGCCACCCAGAGATCAAGGTGCCAAAAGAGGCAGTCTTGGCAGCCACTCATGCACTCAAATCAGGACTTCGGGCACATTTCTTGGCCAGGAGGAGTTCCCTCCACGCTGCCTGAGATCAAGAGACAATGAGACAGGCGCCTTAATGCTGAGCAGCACCATGTGTGCAAGCTACTTCCTAGGTGTGCACACTAGGGCAAGTCCTTGTGTGGGCTTAGCATACTGCAGGCTACTCACCTGGGGGAGTTTCAGAGCTGGGGATGTAAGATGAGGCAGGTACCACACTGGGGGTAGAGGGCAGATAACTTGTGGAGGGAAGTGCTGGCTCACTATTCAAAGATCCAAGTTTCTGGAAGACAGAGGCCATGATCCCTTCAGGCAGATCTCAGGGTTTTAGTACACCCCTCAGACAGCCTGCATCAGCCCCTGCCCATCAATGGAGCAGGACGACTCATATCCCCGGGACAGGGACAGTGGCTTCTCCAGGCCTTTGGTTCCTGGTTTTAATGATGCCAGCCTCCAAACTTAAGTCAAGGCTACCACCCCATGATCCCAAACTGACACCTGGAGAAAGAACTTCAGCAACGCAGTGAGCTCAGAAACAGAGACCATACCACGCAACAGGGCCACACTGCCTCTACACATGCAACCTCTGCACCTATGGCTCTGAAAACCTATTTCTGTTTCCACAGACAGCCTCTGGGGAAGAGCTATGCTGGCTGACTCACCTACATGCAAGACCTGGTCTCCAGGGCACTGGGGACTATACCCACTGGACAGAGAGGAAAATGAGGCACAGAAGTATGAAGACAGCCCAGGCAGTAATTTCAGTATAAAGTAGGAATTCATTCCAAACACGTGGCTGATGCCCAAGTCAGGCTCTGGCTCCCTTTGCCACTCACATTTACACATATACACACCTGCATACATGTACACTTTTACAGAACACATCTTAGTGGCTAGCAATCAGGACAAGGTGGGGCATATTATTTTGACAGTTGAAAATGGTATGTAGCATGCATGCCCATGGCTGCACTGCATGGAAACCCTACCTGTGTGGACACCAGGCCAGCAGCATAGTCAGGGGTGGCATTTTCAACAACTGTCTCTTCCTTGGTGGGCTTTTCCACCACTTCTGTGTCTACCAATAAAGAGAGTTGGTTAGTGACTCTGACACAGCTCCAATTCATAGGTCACAAGTGTCCCCTGGTCTCTGCAGAGAATAAATGTAATCCTAACACTTGGAAAGTTACAAGCTTGAGGCCAGCCTGGACTATAGTGTAAGTCCTTGTCTCAAAAGTCATTCCTTCTCTCCACCACCACCCCCCTGCAAAGAAAAAGACTCCTGGGAAAAGTCCCATTACCACTGTGGTAAAATAAAGCACTCAGGCTTACTGGACCCAGAAGGAAACCCCAAAGCACCGAAATACTACTCAGGCAGAACTAACCATAGCACACTAGGCTACAGTGCCTCTAACCTCCCTCCAGACTTGAAATACCCCATACACACCTAAAGTCTTCCTTCTCCTCTTTGCCTCACGGCCAGCACCAACCGTATTCAGCTCAGAAATATCTAGTAGCTGCCAAAACAAGTACATTCCATACTTAATTATAGAGCGAAGAATCAAGACTTGGCCTTGCCAGGGATGAAAAGGGATGTCCCACCTTCACACCCCTTTCTTTCTGCAGTGGTGTCCTCGAAGGTGGTATTGGGGTCCGGTTCCCAGAGGGACTGAAGACGCTAGGTGTGGTGGGACTTCTGAAGGGGGCTTGCTTCGGGATGCCTTTGAGAGGGGCTACAGAAAAGACTGATGTTAGTGGAAACAGCAGCTTTTGAGCACAGGTGGGTTGAACAAGGCTGCTTTGTCTTGGGGAAGCCTCATACAAATTAGTCTCTCCTATCACATTTTGTGTTTTGTATATTTCATCCTGGGCTAAACAGAACTCGAGGCTGGGCCAAGGGTGGTAGCACATGCTTTTAATCCTAGCACTCAAAAGGCAGAGGCAGACATATTTCTGAGTTCAAGGCCAGCCTGGTCCACAGAGTGAGTTTCACAACAGCCAGGGCTACACAGAAAAACCCTGTCTCGAAAAAACAAAACAAACAAACCAAACTCAGGGCTGGAGCAGTGGCTCAGTGGTTAAGAGCATTCTTCTAGAGGTTCAACTCCCAGCCCCACTGCTAGCTCCAGTCCCAGGGGATCTGGTGCACCCTTCTGGTCTCCAATAGCACTGTATACAGGTGTAGACATATCCAGACAAAGCTCCCATACACATACAATAAAATAATTTTTAAAAAAACAATTAAACAACACACTCAGACTGTTTTTGCCAGGGTCACTATGGTGAAGGGACACTGGTTCAGACTCTACAAACCTAACAACATCTCTGAAGGTCTGCTGGGAAGACCCAGGCTTGATACTCTGGAAGTTCTTCACTCATATCCTTTCTGGGAAGGCTGGAGTAATGGAAGATAACAGCTGTCTATGACACCAGAGACCTCCAGACCTTATAGGACAAGAGCTATCCAGCTATCATCTCTACCCAGAAAAGTGACGACACCAATGTATACCTATATACATCTGTCATCACGTGGGAAGCCTTGTGCTACAAGCTGGTTGTCAAAAGTGGACATATAGTGATCGTCAGACTTCTCCCTTTAAAGAACACTTTCTGCAGTGCCTGCCCTCAGGGACAAGGAAAGCAAGGCGGAGTCTATGCTGTGGCAACAAACGGCAGCAAGGGAAGAGCCCTGTCCTGCAGTAATAATGGTAGAATGGTGACCCGTACTGCAGACTCCCCACTACTAGGTCTATGTCTGCTTTGGGGTTATGGGAACTTGGTATGCCAAGACACCAGATGACCCTCATTCTACAGCTATCCTGTCTGCTGGGCCCTGGACATGGTTCGAGGAGTCCTGTCTTGTACTTTACAGAATACAAAGCAGACATTCATATAGACAGATGCATGAAGAGCCAAACTGCTGTGTGACAATCCATCTTGGAAACTTGCCCTGAGCTCTCAGCCTAGCCAGCCAGCTGTTACAACTGTTACACCCAGGAGGGTAGCTACAAGTGACAGAGAGCGACAGCAAATGTCTCCTCCAGCTGGTCTGCTGCTGGTTCAGCGTGACACATGGCCACCTCCCTCAGGACTCATGTCTGAGTGATTTTCCTGGTGAGGAAAAGCCATACCTTTCACATTAAGTCATCCTGCCTGGCAAGCAACCACAGCACTGGCCTGAACATACGAAGCCTTACTTGTCGTGTCCATCTTGCGGAGCAGCCCCCGGCCCTTGGCGTGGAATGGCACCCCGGCACTTCTCTTCAGCTGCTGGGCTGTCTCAGTGGCTGTGTAAAAAAAGCCACAGGGTCAAGGGTCTCTTAGATCATAGGGTCTCTCAGCCCATAAAGTAACCTCAACAAAAGTGATTCATAAAAATACCCAAGGTAACTTCTTTGTATAACCCAGCAGGAATGCAATCAGTAATGCCACTGACCTTACAGCGAATATTCCTTTTTTTAAAAAAAGGAAGGACTGTTTCCTGGTGATTTGTAAAACAAATCATTATATACCTACCCATATAATCTAACATTAAGTGAAGAATTAGTGGAAATTTTTTGCTACTCTGTCAGAGCTTCTAAGAAGTCTATTTCACTGGGTAGTGGTGGCGCACACCTTTAATCCTAGCACTCACGAGGCAGAGGCATGCAGATCTGAGTTGGAGATCAGTCTGGTCTACAGAACAAGTTCTGGGCAGTCAAGGCTACCTATTCAGAGAAACCCTGACTCAAAAATACAAAAAAGTTTATTTTTCTTTTATTTTCATCACCGTTCCCAGGATAGCAAGATGAAACAGAACGGTGATTGGTGACAGGAGACATGGGCTACAGCATGTGGCGGGAAAGAAGGAAGTGGCCAACTGCTCACCGCATGGCTTCTGGGGTGCCAAGTCTCATCCTGGGTGCATGTTTCTAGGTGTTTCTGAGGATACACTGATGGGGCAACAGTTAGTTAAGATCAACTTAATTTCCACTACATCTCCTCCAAAAGGGAGAGCACTGCACTCGTTTGTGGCCATAATTCAATCCACTGAGGCCTTCTCTTTGCTTTGGTAACCAAAGTTTGTTTTGGGACAGATCCTGGCAGTAACAGATGGACAGAAAACAGAAAAGTCTTTCCCCTGGGATGGCCCTGACTTGGCTGCCTGTCTTCATCTGTGGACTCTCAGACCCCTGCCCAGCTCTGCTCCATTCACCAGGGACTCTTGTGGCCATGGAAGGACTAACACCAGGGCTAGTATGGCAGGCGTGTTTTCTCTTCTTGTGTCCCTTAACAGAAAATAGTAAATTTCCCTCTTAACTGCACTGGCTTTCTAAAGGGATGACTTAAGCCAAGAAAATACCACTGACGGGGTACTCAAGATTGCAGCAAGATAGATTCTTCCATTAGCACAGAGTGAATGCCAACTGTGAAAGAGCTGAATGTTAAAGAAAAGGAGATGATTAAAGCCGTAATAAAACAACATCAAACAATAAATCCGTCAGTTGTAAGTGTAAGATTTTAGACAATTCTGAAGCCATTTCTGACAATTCCAAACCCTCTCAGCCTCCGTGCCTTAGTGCTTCCCCTCCTCCCCTGGGAACCAAGGACCTAACAGGTACACATGCACGTACTCAGTTCCTGAACAATTACCCATACACGTATGTTTTGACTCAGTCCCTGGGAAACGGGGTCAAAATGACCTCTTACCTCATCTGATCTGACAATAGTTCTCCAGTCAATTATTGGTATTAGCCCTTCTCGAATAAGCCAATCATAATGGTCAAGGAACAACCCTCTTGTTTCTATGGGGCCTTCTCCTTTAAAAGCAGACTGTACTAGCTAGTCGGGGTCTCTCAGCTTCCCGAACGCTGGGGGACCCTGTCATGACAGAATTAATAAAATCCTCATGCTTTTGCATCGGCTGTGGTGTATGAGGTGGTCTTTGGGGGCGACTCCTTCTCGGTCCAACATAAGCATATGTGTCTAAACCTCCCCAGTTCACTGAGTAGCTTAACACAGCTTAAATGCAGCCGAGACTGTGTTCAGAAATTTGCATGTAAGTGGCCCCAGAAACATCACAGCCACCTGCTGTACCCCAAGGAACCTGGAGCCTGAGAGGGGCTGGTACCTCACAGGTCCCTCCAGCCATCTTTACAGCAGGCCCAGGCCTCACAGGGTTCTACATAAGTCTGAAAAACAAACGGATTATCCTGAAGTGGCTTGGGAAAGCTGCAGGGTTGGACCGAAGGCAGTGGCCGTGCTGCTGACTGTCGTCAGCAGAGACCTTTCAGAGCAGCTCAGTCGACCTGCACCACAGACCGCAGCCCTCTGATACAGCTGGCTCCAGGCTCTTCTCAGATTTCTCCAAACCATATTTGCTGGGCTTGGTGCAGGTCTGTGATCCCAACACTCAGGAGGCTGAGGCAGGAGAAGGCAGAACTCAAGCCAGCTTAGGCTACCCAGTGAGACTGTATTCCAAAAACAGAACAAAAAACCAAAGCTATTTACAAACCTTAGTAAATGTTAACTGCACAGCTAAAAGAACAGTTAATGACCCGGGCAGTGGTGTGCACACCTTTAATCCCAGCACTCAGGACACAGAGGCAGGTAGATATCAGTGAATCTGAGTGAGGCCAGCCTGGCCTACAAAGCAAGTTTCAGGACAGCCAAGGCTATATGGAAATTTATGTTTTCTATTTTTAGTCCTTTTCATTTTTTGGGCTTTTGTTTGTATTGTTTTGCTAAAATGAGGTATTGAGCTGGGTGTGGTGGCCCACACCTTTAATTCCAGCACTCAGGAGGCAAAAGCAGGTGGGTCTCTGAGTTCAAGGCCAGGCTGGTCGGTAGAGCTTGTTCCAGGACAGCCAGAGCTGTAACAGAGAAATCCTGTCACAGTCTGAGCTCAAGTGATCTTTCTGCCTCAGTATCTCAAGAAGCTGTGACCCAGGTACACAATACACCCGACTTAAAACCCATACTTCAATGTTATTTAGCTAAAGGACACTTTCTCCAGCAAGTAAGTGCCTTCTACACAAACTGTTGTAAGACATGATTTAGGAAAGCACTTAATGAAATCCTTCAACCTCTTCTATAATAGAGGCCAGGTCAGGACACAAGCAGCAGTCTCGCATCCCGTCTTGGCCGGCAGATTCTACTTTGTGAGATTACAGACACCACACTGAAAACCCTGAGGTCTTGCATGCATGTTTCTAAACAGCAGTGACCCGATACAGAAAAGACAAGCTACGCTCTTTCAAGACAGCACAGAGGAAGAGCAGGATTGTAACCCAGGTACTCACACTTCTGTAGTAGCTCTGCCCGCAGAGTGGCACTCTTGGGCTTCCGCTTCAACTGAAAATGCTTCACTGGTGGGGTGAGGGGCCCGGCAAGGGTGGTCAGGGCATTCTTGTTCAGGTACTGGCACTCCAGTGGTAGCATGGCAGACGCCTCACACTCACCCACTGTGGAAAGCCAGAGGGTCACAGGAAGTCAGAGAGAGCCCTTGCACCAGGGAGCTCAGGCTGTTTGTGACCCTCACAGCTCACATGCCAACAGCTCCACGTAGGCTTTCATTTTACAGGCATGGCAGCTTTCTGCTTTGGTTTCAACCCCCAGTGGTTCCCATCATTTCTAGAACCCAAGATCATCCAAGTGGGTCAGGAACAAATGATAGGCCTGCTAGAGGAAGGCTCATCAGACTCTCCAGGGGTGTTTTAAAAACAAGAAATGCTAGAAGACAAGGATTCCTCAGTTATGTCAACTACAAGCCATGAGACTGCAGGGGTGCAAGAACCACAGCATACTATGGAGAGCAGTATCCTGTGTCCTAACGACAAGGCAGCCTCAACACCAGGAAAGCCCTCCCCCTTTACCTCTAGGGTGACTACAGAGCACCAGTGGTCGGTCACCCTAGACACTGCTCAACTGTGGTCTTAAAACACTACCCATGTGTGCCCCTGATTCAGTGTGCTCACCAAGAGGTCAGAGCCTGAAAAACTCCAAAGAGTTGCCCCAGTTACATAACAAGAGAAGTAGATTCATGAGAAGTTGCTTCATCCTTCTGCTCCCAGGAGAATCAGCTACCACAGCAATGGGGATGTGTGACCTGTGTAGGCCAGTGTTCCTAGACTGCAAATAAAAATCAAAACCCCAAAACGTACTAGAGCCTCACAAGCAGCCACGAAGGGTGTGTAGCCTCAAGCCTTTATTCTCCAAGGGAGAGTGCACTGAGGCGTGGAGACTCCCACTGTCGCTTCTCTAGAACCATCTCAGGCTCTAGCAAGTTACGTGTTATTATGTAGGACAGAGAATGTTTTAGATTCTGAAGACATAACTTGCAGTGTTCACCCTCATGGAGCTTACGGAGAGACAGCAAGTACACCATGGATGAGTCATCTGATTGCAGACGTAGCATGCAGTGGAGACAGGGCTGTAGTAAGTCAGACTGCAGCCATGAGGAAGGAGAGCCACTGTCTGAGGAGCCACAGCATGCCACACCTACAGTGTGATATGGACAACCCAATTTCTAAAGTGAGACCCACTTCTTCTCACTATAAAATAAAGCCAGACTACTTACCTTTTTCTCTAAGTTCTCCTAGGATATCTTGAACATTGGGGTTCTGCTCCTCAAGGTCTAGATTCAGTGAGCCCGTGTCAGGAAAGGATTTCAGAATGTCAGCAACCATAAGGACCCAGGGGTCTGAGTCCAGGGTGGCCAGTTGGATAATATCCATCAGAGCACCCTTCATCTGCCAAGACAGAAGATGCCAATTACATAAAAGTTACCAGTCCCGCTTCCCTTCCTGGAACAGTGACAGCTTCAAATGCCTCCTGCCGCCAATCTACCCATTTTCACACTGTGGCCTCTGGGTGGCCTGTGACAGTAATCACTGTGACAACCTGTTCTGAAATATTACTTTAACTATGTAAAGGTGTGTTACTTTTGTATATGCTGCATTTGTTTAATTATGTAAAGATGTGTTGCTATTTCACTTCGGCTAAGGCACCTGACTGATGTGAAAGGCTGAGCAGCCAATAGCTAGGCAGAAGAGGGATAGGTGGGACTGGCAAGCGGAGAGAGTAAGTAGGAGGAATCTAGGCTCAGGATTAGAGAAGAAAAGAGAAGAGAACAAGGAGAAAGAGAAGGATGCGTCAGCTAGCCAGACATGGAGTAACTAGGGAAGTAGGACATACAGAAGAAAGGTAAAAAAACCCCAAGGCAAGACGTAGATGAAGAGAAACAGGTTAATTGAAGTTGTAAGAGCCAATGGGACAAGCATAAGATAAGGCCGAGCATTCATAATAATCAGTCTCTGGGTCATGATTTAGGAGCTGGCTGGTGGCCCCAAAGCCTGTTACATTTAGTATTCCAACATGTGGCCCAAATTTCCACATAGGGCCTGAGAAGAGAAAAGAGAAGAGAAGAGAAGAGAAGAGAAGAGAAGAGAAGAGAAGAGAAGAGAAGAGA